CCGGCATCTTAATATCATGATTGCGTCACTGGTTTTTTTTTTTGGGGAATGTTTATCCAGCGCGTCCGTATCTGATTAGTTCTTTGACTAAGAATTAATATCCTTAGTTAGATGGGATAATTAATCTCGAGTCTCTATAGTTTCATATTATTTTTAATTAGGTCACTATAAAGTTTTTTTCTTTTATGATGTTTTTTTACTTTCACGTGTTTTTAATTAGGCCCCTTCATTTTTTCTTTTTATTAAATCCTTATAATTTCACTTATTTTTTAATAAGATCCGTTGTAGTTTTAAAAAACTGTTTATTAACTTTATTCCTTAATTAATTTTATTTTTAAATTAATAATTATATAATTTGATAAAATAATTAATATAATCATTTTGTAATTAATAATTAATCAGAATAATCAATTATACTTAACTATAAATTATTTATACTTATATTCTAATTTTAGAAAATTTTATTATTACAATTTGAATTTTATAATTATAAAAATTAGAATTGAAAAATAAATAATATATATGTTTAACTAAAAATTTAAAAGAATATTAACATAATTGTTATAATAATTTATTATTTATAGAATAAAGAATAAAAACTACAAAGACCTAATTAAAAATAAAATAAAACAATAAGGACTTGATATAAAAAAAGTATAAGGACTATATTAAAAACATATGAAAATATAAGGAGCTGATAAAAGAAAAACAATTATAAGAATTTGATTAAAAATCGGTTGAAACGATAAGGTCTCATCTCATGATCGGGACTATAAATAATACTATAAATTTTTCAGATATATCTTTTTACTGTTCTTTTTCCCATTTTGTGGAGCCTAGCTAGGTCCACACCTTCATAATTTGATCCATTCAAACACGGCTTCTAGTCTTCGGCACCACTAGGAGATAACAGAGACATGCAGTGGGGCCACAATCATAATAATCGCTTGTGATTGACGACCTTTCGCCCTGGGATGAAGGTAAAACGTCAATAAAAATAATTCAACAATTATTAGCTTGTTTGACCCAGTCCATTAGAATCCATTTTTATACTTGTTTCTTCGTCTTTTTGCCGATAATACTAGGGGTGAGTATTTGGTTTTTTGGTTCAGTTATCGGTGATAACCGAATAACCGAATAGAGTAAATTTTAAACACCGAACCGAAACCGAATAACCGAACTAACCGAAACTGAATTAACCAAAAATTTCGGTTCAGTTAACCAATTAACCGAAATATATAAATATGAAAAATAATTTTAAATTAAAAATAATAATAAAACACAATTATAACCATTAATTAATAAATATTTCATCATTCAATGTGATTTATTATAATAATATTTATTATAATCATATTTATTGAAAATAAGTATATTTAAAAAGTTCACATATATCCACATATATATTTATTATAATAATATTTATTAAATATAAATATATAATATATTTATTTCGGTTATTTGGTTATAACCGAATTTTTTTCTACTAACCGAAATCGAATTGTTTTAAAAATAAAAACCGAATATATAACCGAACCGAAAAACCAAAATTAAATTTGGTTCGGTTTGGTTTTCGGTTACGGTTCGGTTTTGCTCACCCTTAGATAATACTGCTGGGTCATGGGCGGCATCTTAATAGCATGATTGCGTCACTTTTTTTTTGGGAACATTTATCCAACGCGTCTGTACCTGATTAGTTCTTTGACTGAGAATTAATATCTTTAATTAGATGGGATAATTAATCTCCAAATCCTTATAGTTTCATCTTATTTTTAATTAGGTCACTATAAATTTTTTTTAATCATATTCTTTTACTTTCGTGTTTTTTAATTAGGCCCCTTCATTCTTTTCATTTTATTAGGTTCTTATAGTTTCACTTATTTTTTAATTTATAGTTTTTTTAAAAATTATTTATTAACTTTATTCTTTAAAATTAATTTCATTTTTAAATTAATAATTATATAATTGGACAAATAATTAATATAATCATTTAATAATTAATCAGAATAATCAATTATACTTAACTATACATTATTTATAATTGTATTCTAATTTTAGAAAATTTTATCATCATAATTTGAATTTTATAATTATAAAAATTAGAATTGAAAAATAAATAATATATATTTAACTAAAAATTTAAAAGAATATTAACATAAGATTGTTATAATAATTTATTATTTATAGAATATTATTATTTATATAATAAAGAATAAAAACTAAAAATACCTAATTAAAAATAATGTAAAACAATAAGGACCTGATAAAAAGGAAAAAAAAGTATAAAGACCTAATTAAAAACATACGAAAGTATGAGGACTTGATAAGAAGAAAAACAATTATAAGGACTTGATTAAAAATCGACTGAAATTATATGGACTTGTATATTAATTATCCCTAATTAGATTATTGCTTATATATAATTCGGCAGAGTCACTATCAAGAAAGTTACCCGTAAGTAAGTTTATAATTAATGTATAGTTTGTTTAATCAACGAATTAGGTGCCAAGGATACCTACACTGTGCAAACTAGTACCGAATTTTGACCCCAAAAAAAAAAAAACTAGTACCGGATGACGCCTTTTGGAGCCTTCTTCTTGGATGACACATTAGGAAGCGCAATAAACTAACGTTGCTCATTATCTGTTATCGAAAACAACACTTTCATTTAATTAATTTCTCAAAATTTAAAAGAAAAACTGAGGATGGACTATAATATTATGCTATATTATTTAATTTCAATTGCGGGTCTAGCTGAATTGGTTTTATTTGGAGCCTTCTCATCAAAATATCTTGTAGGCAGATGCGTACCATGTATGTGCGCGTCAATATAATTAATAATGTCGTGTAGACGACGAGTCTTGGAGTCTTCTCTTTGGATGATACCTTAGGATGTGTCACTAACTAATTAATATTGCTCATTATATATGTCATTGAAAACAACATTTTTCATTTTAATTTTATTTCTCAAAATCAAAAACTTGAGGACGGACCATCGGATCAAGTTGGACAGGCTTTGGAGCATTCTCGGAAGACTTTTAAGGTCAATTGCGGTGTATATACGCTTTAATTAATGAATTTATGCAGATAACAAATTTTGGAGCCTTCTTTTTGGATGGACTATATAATTCCGCACTAGCTTTGCTATTTCATTTGCTGGTAAGCTGAATTGGCTTTGGACCATTCTCAAAAAGATTTTTGAGGTCAACTGCTTTAATTAACAAAGTTGTGTAGATAAATAGTTGGGAAAATAAGAATTTTTCTACATTTAAAAAATTATCAGATGAAAATGAACATATATTAATGTAACTATTTCAATATTATGAATGAATATTGGGTCTTATGTTTGGAAAATCAACAAAAAAATTGTATCATTAAAAGATAGAGAATATAATGAATTACATCTTTATAATATGAATTAATTAAATACGTATGAAGACAATATCAATTTGTAATAAACCATTAATGAAACGGTAAAAACTGGGTATGATAGGATGGTTTTCTTGGATTTTTCTATGATATAATATAATGTATAAAGAGTTCAAGGAAAAATAAGTAGGTGAAAAATATCGCTTTTGGTTTATTACGAGTTTTTATTGAAATAAAAGTTTTGAATGGAAACATTTTATTTGGTCAAAAAAGAATAGAAACATTTAAAATCAATTAATAAATTGTTGTGGCGGATTGAAAAGCATTACGATTTATGATGCTTAGGTATCTTGTTGGCATCATCGTTAAAATAGAGCGATGGATATTTTAAGAATAAAAATATATATACTTTCCTCTTATTTTGTTTTAATTATAGAAAAATATTTAAATAAAAAGAATATTAAAAATTTAGTAATTTATTTGATTTGCATGATTTTTTTAGTAAGCATGGCATGCCGAAAATATCTAACAAATCTCATAATTATCAGTTTTTCACGCCTGTCGCAGTCTCAGCCCCATTTTTCTTCAGTCTCCCTATCTCAATTAATAGCCTGCTCACGTCGTGGAGCCATTGTATGACAATTAATATGGAATTTTCCCGTGTGGTTATTTAATTTTGTGAAAAAAATTATGGAATTTTATGTTTAAAATCTTTAAGAAATAATAATATTTTTTATTGGCAAAATAAATCATTTTCCTGAAAACATATTTAATTATTTTATAAATACATATACACATTAATTATTTATTATTTACATTATTTATGTCTTATTTATTATGTTGACAAAATAAATATTATTAACAAATTTATTACTTCAAATAAACACATATTAAAATATATCTTTTATGTAATTATCATTTAAACTTATGTCTTTTCTAGTAATTTTTATATATAAAAAAGTACTTTTGACAACAATTATCCAAATATTCTCATTTTATCAAAATTACTTTTTCAGAATTCTTTCAAAATTTATTCTCAAAAATCACTTTTTTCCCAGAAACTATTCTCCAAACCATGATTTGGTTTTATCCAAACACCCTTTTAGTATGATGTGCAAGAACTTATTCGGCAGAAACTGGGAAATTTGGTTAAAAGTGTTCAATAGCTCAGATATTTACGAAAAAGAACATGGTAACTTGCTAAATATGAAAAAAAATATTGTAAAATTATACAAAAATTGCATATTCTAAATTTAGTCTTCTTTTTTAATTTTGGCTTGCAGTGTAATTTCACAATTCTTTATGTTAGATTTGTATTAAATTTCTTGAGAAGTCCTATAATAAAATCCATCCCTATAATATCATTTGGATCAGCAGAATGACACGAGCAAGTGAAGTAGCTGGTTTAAAAAAAAAAAAAAGGATGTTGGCGGTATTTTAATGATCTTTGGGAGTATTAATTAAAAAATTTCTCTTTGTGTGCTTGGCTGAAATTGATAGCTATAGATTATCTAAAAAAAATTTTCTCGATGTTAAGTTAAAACACAAACTGTAGAAAATTTTGGAACACTCATATTTCCTACCGAGATGATGGAAAAAAAACCTGACAAGCTTGACTTGGCCACTGAGTTGCGTCAACCTTGTCTGTGTCATCATCGGTTAAACTGACCCCCTTTCGCTGCCATTACGATGCCCCTGTTCCTCCGGCGGGCCACTTGCCATCAAAATTCACTTCATCACAAAATTAAATTCAAACTATAAAGTATTATCCTCATCTCAAACGCCATCAATAACATACCATTCACCCTTAATTGCCATGACCTTCAACATTATAATTTTGTCACTCTTCTTCTTCATCGGCTTCCTCCTCAATTCTTCTTCTGCTCAAGTCATAGGTCGTAATGAGCTTTACCCTCAGTGCTCCACCCGCGGTAATTTCACTGCCAATAGTACCTTCGACTCTAACCTCAAAACTTTCTTTTCTTCCTTAACTTCCAACAAAACCGCCAACCTCAAATTCTACAACACCACCGTTGGCCGCGGCGGCGAGACCGTATACGGCCTCTTCATGTGCCGGGGTGACGTCGGCAACCAAGACGTATGCCGCCAGTGCGTAGCTGACTCAACCCTAGAGGTAGGTTCCGTGTGCCCATTTTCGAAGGAGGCCGTAACCTGGCGCGACCTGTGCTTGGTTCGCTATTCCGATCGCAACTTCTTCTCCACCGTCAATACGAGGCCTAGACTCCGAATGTTGAACCCTAACAATGTCTCGAATCAGTCAGGATTCATGAACGTATTGACGTTTATTATGAACCAGTCGGCGGATGAGGCTTCCAAGTCTGCTGTGATGAAGAAGAAGTTTAAGATGAATGCGGTGGCGGTAGAGTTTCAAACTCTGTACGTTCTGGTTCAGTGCACGCCGGACCTTTCGTCGGCGGATTGCAGAAGGTGTCTGAGCGGAGTGATTGGGGACTTTAGATGGTGTTGTGATGGGAAGATCGGAGGAAGAGTGGTATATCCAAGTTGCCTCGCTCGTTATGAGTTGTATCGGTTCTTTAATTCTTCTACGCCTGTTCCGCCAGTAACGCTGTCGCCTCCTCCGGCTCTACTTTCTCCTCCAAATCCTGGTAAGCTCCATAATTACATGCTTTTCTGATTTCTTTTTTCTAATTAAGTAAATTACAGTAAATCTATTCATGAAAAAGATTAATTATACACGCTGATTTTGGGACCAAAATAGTTATTTCAAAACATGACATGAAAGCAGAGCAATCGTGAGTCCGCATTAGATGCTCATCCAATCGATGAGTTCCTGGCGCTGAGCGGTCAAACGGTGTCGCATCATCGACACAGGGAAACGCTGAAGGGATTTCCCTCTCCATCCGCGAGAAAATTGATGCCCCTCCCCACTTTTCTCCTCTTAGGCTTTAGTCACTGCCCTTTCCTTTTCTTCTTTTCTTTTTTTTTTTTTTCAAGTCACTCACTTTTTTTATTTAATTATCTTTGTGATTAAAGAATTCAAACATAGCAATTATTTTTAAAAATCAACACATATATAAACTACATGTACTATAAAATTATATTTAGATTAAACTTAAACCTTCTACAACATCTTACAAAAAATGTTAACTAACACGACCTGTAGTTCTTACACAAGTTAAGATGCATCCTGAAATACTTGTTAAGTACCAGTATTTTAAATTAATTTGTAGTTCAAATAACACCTTAAAATATCTTTTAGTAGTATAATATAACTTTGATCAAACAAAATATTTCAAGTAAAATCAAATATCCAGGTGTACTAAATAAAAGAAAAAAAACTTATATCAAGTTCCTTATATCTATTATCCTAAGTTCTCCAATCATATATAGCTATATGTTCTTTTTTGTTTCATATGACTTTGTAATTAAATGTTAATATTTTAATAATATAATACATGATCATGTGGGATTGGAAAACTTCACATAATAAATATAAAAATCTAGATGTAAGTATTGTCCTAAATAAAAATAAAAAATTTAGCCTCCTTAAATTCTTAATACGATTGAAAATATATTTTAGGGTGTTAAATAAATCAAAAATTAGTTAGAAATACCGAATGCTACATAAAAAATATTTCAAAAAATGGATGTTACTTAGAAAATGCTTTAGAGTAATACTAAATGCAACGCAGAAAATATTTTAACATGCATCTTGACCTATGTAAGAATTATGGAGAATCAAACTGTATTGTTCATTTTTTTTTTTTAGAAATATTTTAGAAGGCCTCATTTTGGTCTAAATATGATTTTGAAATTAAAATAAAGAAATAATAATAAAAAGAAAGAGTAATTACCGCCGGGGGGATTGGGGACTTGGGGTGGGATGGAGAGGGAAATCATTTCAGCGTGTCACTTCGCGTATGATGCGACACCGTTTGACTGCTGAGCACCAGGATGAGCGCCTAATGCGGACCCGAGGAACCGTGAATCTCTTCACCCCTATGAATCATTATAAATATCATTTACAAAAACATATATACTTTCCGTCTAATTATAAAATTTTGTTTTCAAAAGTCTCATGCTCATGACCAATTAACAATTTAGTTTCTTATAGATTGCTTTTCGGTATATGACAGATACGTGTATATAGATTGAGGACGCAGTCAAAGAAGTAAAAGAAATAATTTTAATTTTTTATGGAAGTAAAAGGTAGAAATTAAATAGTATATCTTTTTGTTCATAAAATAAAGACCCGAAACTTATTAAGAAGTTTAAACGTATTTTTTCTGAAAAATATGCATTTGAGATGTTTTAAAACATCAAGGGAGGAAGACGAAAATTTATAAGGAAGCATTTTTTTTCCCTGAAAGTAATAATCTTATTTTGAATATTTTAACATTTAAATTACTTAATAAATTTTATATCAACGAAAAGCCGGTCCCTGCAACTCAATTTGGAATCATGTGTGAAGAGAATCATATGCGAATGCGAAATGCAGAAACAACTTCGCTTTTGCCGATTTTGCGTCTTGGTGTTCCGCCAACACCAGTTTGGTGTACTTCAAGTGATTCATATTAGATTCGGTTTACACATGACTCAAAAAATTGACTTGCTTGGAGGTTAATAAAGACTCAAATGGCTTTTAGCTCTAGCTTCAATATATACGCTAATTATTTAGAGACACGGTGATAAGGAGTGACATTGAGACGTGGAAATATTCTATATACAGTAAAAAGGAAAAGGCGATTGAGGACTATTTTGATAGCTGTGGCTTCTCCTGTTGGTGCTATGATACTTTTATGCTTCGCCTACTATTTATCAAAGAATCAGATAAAGAAGATACGTATGGCTTTTCTCATGCGAAAGTACTGTAAGTAATTTTCATTCCATCTCTTCACTACCCACACAGTTTGGCTAGCTAGTTGGAGAGTGGCGATACTTCTCGTATGCTTTAATATCTTGGTTTATTTGTCTAGTTGGAAGCGAAAGCAACACTTTAGAGCCTCTGCAATTCAGTTTGGCTACGATTGAAGCAGCGACAAATAAGTTTTCAAAGCAAACTAGTTTAGGTCGGGGTGGATTTGGAGAAGTTTACAAGGTGAGAAATGCTATCGATGTGTAAATATGATGATATTTATAGTATTGGTTATATTGTTTTTCCAGTTTAATTTAATCAACTATGACTTCAGGGCATTCTTTCAAATGGCCAAGAGATAGCGGTAAAAAGACTTTCAAAAAGTTCTGGCCAGGGAGCAGAAGAATTTAAGAATGAAGTTTTGCTAATAGCCACGCTCCAGCATAGAAATCTGGTGGCCCTGCTAGGATTTTGCATAGAAGAGCAAGAGAAAATTCTCATTTATGAATATGTTCCCAACAGAAGTCTTGATTACTTCCTTTTTGGTTAGACTCTTCTAAACTCATTTTAACTCAATCGAAATTTATATACATGCGTGTTATTAACATTTGAATTCCGCTATCTCATATATGCTAAAGTTAATTACTTGTTTTCAATTATCTTTCTTTAATTTGTCAGTCTAGTCATTAACGATAGCTTTATATATGTATAGGTTCTCAAGAAAGCAAAGTGTTAAATTGGGAGGAACGTCACAAAATTATTGGAGGAGTTGCTAGAGGAATTCTTTACCTTCATGACTATTCTCGAGTCAAAATTATACATCGTGATCTCAAACCCAGTAATATTTTGCTAGATGATGAAATGAATCCAAAAATTTCAGATTTTGGCATGGCTAGGATGGTTGGATTCAATGACATCGAAGGAAGTACAAATAAAATTGTTGGAACATAGTAAGTTATAAGATTTCCTTCAAACTCTTTTACCTCTATATCATGGTATGGCTGAATAAACAAAAATAAGCTTCTATGATAAGCCCACATAAAAGTTCGTCTTTCATTTTTTTTCCCCATTTAAAATGTCCAATTGTGTTGCTTGTTAGCTATAAGAAAAAGAGCTCTGATTGATATTTTTTTACCAGTGGTTATATGTCTCCAGAATATGCAATGTTTGGACAATATTCTGAAAAATCAGATGCTTTTAGCTTTGGAGTGATAGTATTAGAAGTTATTAGTGGAAAGAAGATCACAAGTTCTCCTGATCAATCTCATGGCCTCCTAAACTATGTAAGTTAATTATTGTAATGCGTTTATTACACTAATATTTCTTATGTAATTGTCTCAGATTTGGAAGAGATTATTTTAACAATATTGTGTGAGATATTTATAGGGTGGTGATTAAAATAGCTAAGTCCACTGAATTGTTGCAGGCTTGGAATCAATGGAAGGAAGAAAAGATCTTAGAGATACTGGATTCAAATCTAAATGAATCTGAATCGTTGAATGAAGTGAACAAGTGCATCCAAATCGGGTTGTTATGTGTTCAAGAAAATCCAGAAGCAAGGCCTTCTATGGCTACAGTTGTTTCATATCTTAGCAATGATTCAATTCAATTGCCATTTCCCCAAGAACCTGCTTTCTTTCTGGAGGGCCAAATGGAGCTTAATACCGACAGTAAAGAATCAATTAATGAAATGTCTATAAGTGAATTCTATCCTCGGTAGTACGAGGCTTTTATTTCATCTTGTCCTTGCCACCAAGACTCAATTTGGTACCTTGTTAATCAGAGAACAAGTATTTTTATGTTATTGTACCCAAATGACGAGATTCAACATAAATGGTAATGTTGATATTATTATTCAATAATATATTTTCCAATAAAAGGGCGATGATTAAAATAATTAGCTAGACTTAATAGTTACAGGCTTGTAATCGGTGGGGGAGTAAAAGTTGTTAGAGATATAGGATTCAAGGATAAATATTGAATTCAGATCATATAATGGAGTGATTAGTACATCGTCGGGTTGCTTTGTATCCAAGAAAATCTAAATGCAAAGCCTTTGTGCCTGGCTACAATTGTTTTATATTACAGCAATTATTTAACTCAGTTGTCACTTCCAGAGCAATTTTTTTTTTTTTTGCATTGTCAAATGGAGCTTACCTATTGATTTGTGAGTAAAGAATCATGCTCTACAAATGAAGTCTCGTTGAGTGAATTTTTTCCTCACCAGTAAAATCCTTTTATTTCTGCTTTTTCTTAAATGCAGATGCTCTGCTTGGTATCTACGAGATAAAAGGATTGCACAAATTAAATACAGAGATAGAGCCTCTTAATGGACGGCAGAAGAAAAAAGGGGCCAAAAACAAATCCAAATCTGAAATGATCAAATCTATATTGTTATTGCACGCATGTTTTAAAAATAAAATACAAACCATCAGTTCCCAGAGTAGAGAAAAACAAAAGTTGAAGTCTGATCTACTCCGATCTAACGAGGAAATAGTGTACTCTTCGACATTTCATTGATGGAATATTGATTGTGGTTGGCAAACTGACCCTCCATTTCTATAGTGGTTGCTACAGGTTCCATTTGACTATGTATGAAGAATGCTGGTTCTTGAGGAATTGGTAATTCAATCGAATCATTACTTAGATATTGAACAACTTCATTCATGAAAGGCCTGATTCTGGATTTCCTTGAACACACAACAAGTTGATATGGATGCATTTGATTATTTCACTGTGTGACCCAGCTTCTGTCAGATTTGGATCCAACATCTCTATCAATTTTTCGTCCCTCCAATGCTTCCAAGCCTGCCATTATGTCAAATCATTAATTCAAAAGAGGGCCCTGCTATTAATTTGATTATAGAATATTGTTAACATAAGCTCCAATGACTGCGTTGATGCTTATAAAGATGACCACGATGAAAGGTATGAGATGATTATTTGAGAAATATTGAAAGTTTCATACTCACATTACTTAATAGTCCATCACTATATTGAGATTCAGGATATTCATGATGAGAATTTATATTCTTCTTTCCAATAATAATTTCTAAAACCATCACCCCAAAACTGAAAACATCTAATTTCTCCGAAAATAGTCCAAACTTAATATATTCTGGAGACATATGACCCCTACAATAAATACATAAAATAACAAATAAATATATCAATATATGTTAGAATATTAGCACCAATCGATTTGAGCAAAATCTTGTGCCAATATTTAAATTCAGCAGCAAAGTACACGTGCAAGGTACACAAGTACCTCCAGAGAAAGACAAAAATAGAACAAAAAGAGAGAGAACTTACAATGTTCCAACAATTCTATTTGTGTTTCCTCTTGTTTCATTAATACCAACCATTCTTATCATGCCAAAATCAAAAATTTTTGAATTCATCTCATCATCTAACAATATGTTGTTAGGTTTGAGATCTCGATGTATTACTTTAAGACATGAGTGTTCATCGAGATAAAGAATTCCTCAAGCAATTCCTCCTATAATTTTATAGCGCTCAAGCCAATTTAACCTTCTTGGCTTTTGTGAACCTATTCATAATTAAATTACTTTGTGAGTATTAAATTGAATGACAGATATTTTCACCTCCAAGAGTAATGAAAGAATGGATAATATTATTTTTTGTCCTAATTATAAGACCTCATTTGTAGTCTACAAACACGATTTTATAATTATGACCGAAGGTAGTATATGAATAAAAAATTGAAAAAATGGTAAGATGAGTTTGGTTAGAAGAAACAAACCAAATAAAAAGAAATCCAGACTCTTGTTGGGAACATATTCATAAACAAGTATTTTTTTCTTTGTCTTTCAGGCAAAATCCTAATAGTGCCACCAGGTTGCTATGTTGAAGTTTGGCAATTAATAAAACCTCATTCTTGAATTCTAATAAGCCCTGACTAGAATTTTCTGACAATCTTTTTACAGCAATTTTGCTGCCATCGGGAAGAATGCCCTGAAATCATAAATAATCAGATAATGAGGGAGTGGGAAATACATGCAAGTAATGATATACACAAGCACACACGTTGATTTGATCGCATAATTAAGTTACCTCGAAGACTTCTCCAAATCCACCTTTGCCTATTCTATTTTCAGTTGAGAACTTATCTGTTGCAGCTTCAATTGTTGCCAAATTGAACTGTAATGACTCTAGCACAGCTCCTTAAATTCACTTCCAACTATAGATATATGTACATTTCAAGGTAAGTACACTACAACAACATAGTTTTTCTCGCAGCTGACTGAGTTTTCTTTCTTGTTTTTTCAAGGGGAAAAAAAAGCCTACATACAGTTTTTCTTCAGAATCTCCTTACAGCTCTTGCTCCTTTTTCTCTGCCAGTAATAGTAGCCGAAACAAAGGAGCATGATTGAGCCAACAGTAACGGACACCACCGCTATTATAACTGTTCGTGAGTGGTCATTATCTTCTCCTGAGTAAATTAAATGGGTGTGTACATTCCATAGACAAGAAATGGAGAAGATTTGTGAGCACAAAATTGAGAGCCAATCAAGAATACCAATTTATATTTAGTGAACTATATCTTTGTAAGAAAAATGATTAGATCGCAATTACTTTACCTGGATTTCCTGGGGAACCTGTATCGTCTGGGGCATACGCAGGTGGCACCAAAACAACATTTTTACTGTCATTATAAAATCTGTACGATTCAAACCTCAAGTTGCAGCTAGGATTCATGACCTATCGTCCTTTCTTTGCAGAACAACATGACATGATATTTTGCAAAGCACCTTGTGGACATTTTCTGCAGTCTTGGCTGGACAGGTTTAGAGTACATTGTGCAAGAGTAAACAACGTTTTGAACTCTACATCGTAGATTTTTTTAAAATAGTTTAAATATCTTTCTTAATTCCCTCCCTCCCTCCCTCCCATTCTACTTACTTATTGTTGAAAAAATATCAATAGAGTTAATTTGAAAAAAAAATTGATAAGGTCTTATATATAAAATTAACATTAACTCTTTAATTAGGTCTTATATTAGGAATTAGAGGAATATTAAGCAAACATAATGCCCCCAAAAACACCAAATTATCGTGGGTAATGAATTATGCAATTTTTATGAAAAAATAAAATATTAAAATTTATTGCTTTAATGTTGAAATGTGAGATTAAAAAGAACGCGTGACACGGCGACAGAAAAAACATACGGAAAAGCTTTTCAATATCTTTTCATGGAGTCTCAATAATAATAGTTACCATGCATTCCCTAAAAGAGGAAAGGAAAATCATATTGGTATTTACACTTTCTTTTAATTTGTAATTTGATATCTATATATTTTTTCTCTTAATTAAATCATCTAAATTTACTTTTTTTAAGTAATATTAGTTCTTATGACTTTATTGTATTAACATTTTTAGTTTTTGTACAAGAATTAACGAATAAAGAAAATTAAATTAAAAACTTGATTAAAAGAAAAAAAACACATGAATACTAAATTGAAAATTAAAAAACGTGAGGGGAATCCCTTTCTCCTCGTCTTCTTCTCCCTGTTTTTGTTTTGATGCCGTGCAGAGAAAAGTTAAAAAGGAAACTAATGACATCACCTTCAGATGCCGTGGAGGGAGGCTGGTCGCCCTTGTAATAAAATCGGTCTTCTCCGAATCTCAAATTGCAGATCAGATTCTGAATTGTTCCTCCGTGTAAAGCATTTTCTTTTGAAACAAGAAGATTCATGATGCCATATAGGCACTCGCTACAGAATTGTCGGGACAGATTCGGCGTGCACTGTACAAGAGTGTACAGCGATCCCCCACTAAAGTTTGCTTCCTTTGTCGCAAATTCCTTGGCACCTGGCGTCGCCGCCTCCACCACCGCATCATTCAACGTCTTATTTAATTCTGTGTATGCATCTGGGTTTGGAGGGGGTAGAATCTCGCCGCATTGTGTTGACATTGGTTTACGGAGACAGCTAGTTAACAACGCTCTGCTAACTGTCGGCAGTTGATCGAGGGTGGAGAAGAAAGAACGGTCGGAATAGCGGAGGGAGCACTGGTCGTACCAGATGACTGCCTCTTTGTTGTAGGGACACTCTGAGGCCATTCGATTTATGGCGTCCTGAACGCAATCTCGACAGACCTGAATGGGGACGTCACCTCGGCACATGAACTCTCCATATACGTTGGCAGAGCTGGTGTTGAAGAATTCGGGAGTATCACCGCCGGCGGCCTTTTCATACAAGATACCGAAGAGAGTGTTAAGGTTGAACTGGTAGGGGCTATTGGAAGTGAAGTTTTTATTAATTGTGCAGTTGTGGTCAAAGCAAGCAGCGATGTGGACTTCAGAAGAAGCCAGATCAAAGGAGGAAAGAAGCAGAAAATAGGATAGCAGTTTCAGAAATGGCATATCCATATTCCTGCCCAATGCTTCTGCAGGCGTGTCCGTGGCTTCTGCTAAATGAAGTAAAGCAAAGCTTTCACTCGGTTGGACCTCTAACGCTACAACCGCATCTTCCCATCTTCTTCCCTTCTCATTATTGTTATTATTATTTTCCTTTTGATTCTTAAGTTTTAAATGGAACGAGAAGTATTTTCTATTGTTTATATATGATGTTTCCCCAAAAAAACAAAAAAACAATTTATGTTCTTTGTAAAATATTAAAAATAAAAAACTGAAACATTTCATGAGTAGTCATATATCAGAATGTCTTTCATTTCGCATGTAGAATAAAGCTAATAACAAAAAGCGAAAGGGCAAAGAGCAAATTAGAAAGATAGAGCATTATTCACGGAAGAGGAATTTCCGTGTGATTTTCATTTGCCAATGTGAAAAGGTTCACCATGCCACGACTTTGCATGAAAGAGCCTGCTGTACGTTTACACCCTTAGTATGAGTGTTTTTGGATCCATAAAGGCAAGAACCAAGATTTATGATCAACAAAACAAGAAGAGACAAGAGAGAGAGAGCAGCTAAGATGCTCTGTTTCTGCCGGTTTTAATTTCACGCAAGCAGAGCATTTAGGATCATAAGCTTTCTCATGTAAGAAATCAGCACATTAGATGGCAGTCCAAGTAAATCATATTCTTTACCCTCAATGGATGGTTAGTTCTGCCGTCTACCATTATTAATGGAAGAATGTTTTACAGTAATTGAAGAAGGGAGTGTAAGCGGCGACCTTGTTGCAGCCATTGTTTACAAAGATCAGAAAACTTATATGCTATGGCCCATGCAGGGGACGCGAGCTTGGACCAAAATGGAAATCGAGCCCATGCAAATCTGCAATTACGCACCGTCGTAGTGCACGTGTTAGACGTATACCTTGGAGGCTGAGAGAATAAAGAGGCCGTTACGTGAGAGAGAAGGGTGTGGATTATGTGCGAGTCATTCTTTCTGACACTTCTGCTCTGTAATCTTCCCCCTGGCCCTTAGTGATCTTTTTGTTATTTCTTAACGTTTCCCGATTACGTTGTGATTTGTATTCCGTTGAGTAATTGTTCATACACTGTGAACGAGTATAGCTATTAGGTTGTCAAACTCACGAGTTTAAGTAAACTCGTAAAGAGAATGTAAACTCGGAATCGTAAACTCATAAGAGTTTAACTTTTATTAAAAAATGACTATTAAAAATATATAACTAAATATTTCAAATGCAAAAAATACATAGCAATTTAGTTTAACTATATTTTAAATCTAAATCATCAAAATTAAATCCATTAGCATTCATAGTTCATCATACCCAACATAGAAATATATATGAAATTATATAAATATGAAGTCACTAAATAAAATCAAATTTAAAAATAATAATTATAAATTCAACAAAGATCATCAAATGTTGGATTGGCATCATCTTCATTGTCTTCAAATTCTTCGCCTTCACCATTGTAATCTTCATTTGCCCCACCCATAGCATCATCATCATTATAATTTCCCTTAATATTATCAACGTTCAAATCAGCATTTAGGTCAACATCAAATATTGGATTAACAATGTTCTCATTAATCTCATGATGTTGAGGAGCCTCATCATCTTCTTCCTCCTCCACACCTTTTTCACCTATTCTTCCTTCAGTAATCCATTCATCATCAGAATAAATATCATCAAAGTCATAATAAGAAGCTCTATTACTTTGCTTCCTTGTTAGCTTCAAATTGCACATGACAAATGCTAAGTCATTCATCTTTTTTTGATGCAATCGGTTTCTCCTTTTGGTATGAATCTAACAAAATAGAAAAACACTTGTTATTATGCAAACCTTCAAGCAAAATTATGTTGAAAATTTTACAAAAAACTATATGTGTCTTACCATCTAAAAAACGCTCCAATTACGTTCACAACCAGAAGAGCTGCAACATAAGCTAACAATGCGAATTGCAATTCTTTTAAGTTCTGGGCATTCATCTCCATAAGAATCCCACCATTCTGCCGGAGTCAGTTTTTTTTCTTAATGCTTGCGCAGTTTCACGCCCAAACATACCTTTTTTATGATTAAAGTTGGGCAATTGATACTCAATCTTGTTAAGCTCATCTTTATCCTCTACCATTCTTGAGAAGCAATCATATAATCCTTGTTTGATCATATAATTTGGTTTAAAATCACTGTTATAATGAAAATGAGGATTAAGATAGTATGCTGCTGCATGCAAAGGCCTATGTAGCTGTGCTTCCCACCTCTCATCAATTATATTCCATATAAGCTCATAACTGTGACAATCAATAAATTAAAAGGGTCATTCAACAAAACTACAAAAGTAATCAAGATATAAAAATCATAAAAATTAAATTAATAAAATTAAACACAATTTAATTTAATACTTACTTCTTTTTAACGCTATTAAAATTTTGTTTGATCTTTTCCTTTGCACTTTCCATTGCCTCATATATGAATCCCATAGCTGGCTTCTCTTCTGAGTCCACTAAGTGAAGAACTTTAACAAGAGGAGCAGCAGCTTTCAGATATGTTACAATATTTTTCCACAAATTATTGTCAATAGCACTTCCTGCCACTTCCTTTCCATCTCAAGTGGATGAATATTTGCTATTCTTCCACTCTTGAGAATTAAACAAATTTATCAGTGGTACTCTATGCTCATTAAGACATGACAAAGTTAGATATGCAGTAGCAAATCGAGTTGCAGCAGGCCTAACTAAGTCCTTTCCATTTGTGTATTTTCTCAAAAGGTGAATGAGCAATGATCTTGTATAAATATATGTAGTGATTCTTCTACCCTTGCTAATGGTTTCTTTGCGCAACACAATTTTTTTTTCAAAGTCTTCTAACATTAAGTCAATACAATGGGCTGCACACGACGGGGTCCACTACAAATGTTTTCTTTTTCCCATCAACTTTTGCCCAGCCGCTTTATAATTTGCAGCATTGTCAGTTACTATTTGAACCACATTTTGCTCTCCCATTTTATCCACAACTTCATCAAGCATCTCAAATACTTTATCAGCAGTTTTAGAAATTTCAGAAGTATCTAGTGAATACAGAAATACTGTCCCTTTGGGACTATTCACTAAAAAATTGCAAATTGAGCGTCTCTTTCTATCAGTCCACCCATCAGACATTATGGAATAACCCGTTGTAGTCCAGTCACTCTTAAAGTCATCCAGTATGGTTTGTGTGTTTTTTACTTCTAAGTTTAAGTATTTCTCCCTAATCTCATGATAAGAAGGAGGCTTAAATCCTTGACCAAATCTTCCTATGACTTCACACATCTTTATAAACTCAGGATTTTTTATACAATTAAAAGGAATGACACTTGTATAAAAAAATTGAGCTACTTGTTGACAAGCTTCTTCCCTCAAGTCTTTCTTAAACATATGATTAATAGTTGATTGGGAGGTGCCTACCCCTTTGCTATTATTTTTTGAATTTCTCAAGAAATTCATGAGCACTTTCTCTGACTTCTAAGATTCAACTTGTGTTTGAGTGCTTTGATCTTCTTCTTCACCAACATCAACCCATTGTTTTTTCCTCTTAGATGAAACACACTTAGCTTCACAAATATGTTGTAGTATTGTAGTTTTCACTTCTTCAGGAACATTAACACAAGCTTCGACATCTATTTTAGTGCATGCTAGATGATGTTTGAATCTGTAAATACCTCCATTGACAATTTTTCCACAATAGTTACACTTTACTTTTTTGCTATTTCCATCAACATCCATCCCATGTTTCCATCCTATATCAGATCTATTACCGGGATAGTTTTTTCTTGCAGCAGTAACTTTTTTCCCAGTATTTTCTCTTGCACTTGAAGACATCTTCAATTTAATATATTGCCTACTTAATAATTAGTCAAAATAAATTATAAGATTAAAAAATAAACTGGAGATCAGATAATCATCAAACTAACAATTAAGCAAAAATTTATATGTAAAGTAAATGGCTTGTAAAGTGAAACCAAATTTATTTATTTGATATGAGCCCATTTTTGTTAAATATCAAATGAAGTAATTAAAAAAATTATAAAAATATGATAGTTTCAGAAATCCTATGCCCAGAACGTCTAATAGCATTCAGTCAAAAACAAAAACGTCTAATAGGCTAATAGCATATGAATTGTACTATGAATCTAATAGGCTAATAGCATTTGAATAGTACTATGAAAATATATAATATATTTAAAGTTGTTGGAAAGTAATAAAAGATTGAATGAAGACAAAATTCTTATACCTTGCGTTACGTCCTTTCACGTTGCAGCAGACTTCAGAGGGAAAGAAAGAAACTTGATTCAACTTCAACTTTCACAGCCCCACTGAACCAAAAGATAAACAGATTGCTTGTCAGACATTCAAAGTTTCAAACACTCAATGCCTTTTTGTTTTTTTCTTTAGCTTTTAACTGGCATAAAATATAATATTTTATTAAAAGGGAACGTTACTTACCTGAGTAATTTTTACTTTTTCCTCAGTCTCTGTTTTCTCTTTGAAGTTCGAACTCTTTTTTCTCTCTTATGTCTCCGTCTTCTCCTCTTCTTCTTTCTTCTCTGGTCTCAGGTTTGCAAAAAAACAAGTGGGAGAGACGCAACTCACACAAGGGAGTAGAGATGAAAAGGGAAGAACTGAAGAACTGTTACAACTCACAAATGCTATTTTTCTTCTTCCCCTCTTCTCTTTTCTTTCTCTTCTTTGAGAACGATACTGGCGGCACAGAGTCGATGGGCTCAAAATAGGGCAACCGAAAGTTTTTTTTTTTTTTTTACTTTATATTAGTTTTTGTTTTCAATCTTTCTTTTCCTGGATGACTCGCTTAACTCGGTTTTGAAACGGCGATTTTACCGAGTTTAACCGAGTTAGAACCGAGTTTATGCTTAAGACGATTCTATAAGCGAGTTGGCTCGATTTCTATGACTAAAAACGTGAACTCGGTAAACTCGGCGAGTTGACTCGCGAGTTTGACAAC